AAGTGGCTCCCTCGCTTCCCCCGTGGCAAGAGGAATCCCTCAGTGACCCTGGGAAAAAAGGGAGCCCTTTTTGGGGCTTGGACCATTTTGAGTGGGGCAGCCACCCAAAAAAGGAACAATAATTGGGGCCACTGAACAACTGAGGAATGCATCCAGATGCCCTCTGTTTGTGGGAGGGAGGGTGCCACCACCCAAGGACTGCTGTTCCGTCCAAAATATGTCCAAAACCCCCAAGTGCTGTTCACATGGGCAAAAAGGACTCATCGGTGCTGGCATCGTGTCATGGCAGACGTGCTTGTGCAGGCAACGCCAGCACAAGCTACGCGCTAGTAAGAAAGGCACCGCACCAATCCAGTTTACCTGATTAACATGCTTTAAACAACACACACGCGGATGGTAATCTGAAAGACTGGTCATCGCACCAATGAATTTCACAACTGAGATTCCAGACAACTTTCAACACACGAAGGCAAGAGCAATCTCAAGCATCTGGAATGTATACGTGTGCGCGTGTCTGCAGCTGTCACGGCTGCATGTGTATGTCCATATATGAACCCCTGGTATAAATCCCTAGTTTATTGGTTAATTTTACCGTTAGTTCAAGCGTGATTTTGGGAAATCCGCCCGCAAAGGGTCCAAAATGGCCATGTGTTCATATATTGGACCTATACAATCAGCCTTTGAAGTTGGTTGACAAGGAGCAAAGTTGTGCTTGGTTGCAACCGGATTGCTTCACATGTGCTGGAACGGTCGCCGTTTGGACAGTGGCCAATCAGACCCATTTCACAAGAGGTTTGTCATAAGAAACCAGAACAAAGTCTGAATGTATATGTCCATGCATGAACGCCTGAAATACACATCTAGTTTATGAGTTAATTCACGGTTCGTTGTGGCTTGTGGGAAATCAGCCCCCAAAGGTCTAAAATGGCCATGGGTTCATATATGGATCTATACAATCAGCCTTTGACCAGTACAAGTCGCAAGAGGCACAAAGGCAATTGGCCCTGTAAAAACACTTGGTCAAACAGGAAGGACAAGGCAACATATTGGCTAATCAAGGTGATTACAGCAAAATGTCTGCTGGTAAACATCATCGCAAGCTCGCTCAGTTGTGCTGGAATTTGGCAGCCCACCAAAACCTACCTCCTCCAACATACGGCGATTTTCGCTGAAGTCATTCGTTGGACATGTTCCGAGGTGTTTGCAGAAACACACCTAGCACGACTTGCCTCGACTCTTTGGGCGTCAACAAGCCATCAACGTTTAGTGATTTGTCATCCGTTTAGTGATTTGCCCAGGAAATCAGGTAGGCCAAAACGGACCAAAGCTAAACCAGACTTGGCCAAGACCTTTGCGGGAAGACCTCAAATTCCGGGCTTGTCGCCCAGACCCTCAAACAACAAGCTTCAGCTTTTGGGACGTTCGCTGGACCTGAAAACTCAAAGGTTACTAGGTCCTCCAGTAGAGAGTTTAGAATAAGGGTACCAACTTTTTGCTGCCAATTGCCTAGGTCCTCCAGTAGAGAGGTTGGAAAAACGGTACCAACTTTTTGCTGTAGTCTATGTTAGTAGGGTTGAACCCTCCCCCCCAAAAAAGAAACGGTGAGAGGTCGGGCACCAATCGCAAGCTGAAAGGTCAGATCCGAACCGGGAGCCGCCTGCAGGACTTGATCCCAGCCGGCCAACAGCTCGCCGAACTCGGTGGATTTCAGGGAAAACCGTGGGAAACCCAGCGAATTTTTCAGGACCCTCCCGGCTTTTCTCCCTAAGCATCAGCCCACCACAAGGACACTCACGTAAAATTGCTTGGGTTATTCCTACATGCCTTGGTACCCGCTGAGGTCATTTAATCCCTCTTCACCATCAACAAACCAGCCCTAAAGGGTATCAAGGGACCCTCTCAGTTGTTCAGTGACCCTGGGAAAAAAAGGGAACCCCTTTTGGGGCTTGGACCATTTTTAGTGGGGCAGCCACCAAAGAAAAGGGAAAAATCATTGGTGCCACTGAACTGAGGCCTTGAGGTAGGTGGGGTTCTCAGACCTAGCGCCTTTCGGGACGTCATGTGAGTCACAATCAAACCCCAGTACAAACATGGTGAACCCAACATGTAAAGGACTAAGGCGGAAGTCCGCAGCTATTTCTGGTATCGGCCCTTAACCTTCAACCGGGCTTAAGAACTGGAGCTTCCCTCGCGAGCGGCTAACCAAAAGACCTCGCTGTTGATTCGTGGGAGCTCTTGAAAATGCTAAGGGGACCAACAGGAACCAACCCAATTTGGGGGCTCCCTGATTTTCAGAACCCTCCCATTGGTGGCAATTGTGAGTGCTTTTTTCTCTATGCATCCATTGCTGTTCTCAGAAACGAGACAGATGCGACAATGCGCTTGGCTCATGAGACTTTTTCTTGCCCATCTCCGCCTCATTTGTTCCCAAGCCGACCGATCAATCCACCCCCCAAACGGGACATCTCGTTGGACGCTTGCCTTCGCACATCTGTTTTTTGGAACCCCCAACATGTCTGCGTATCCTGGGCTTGAATTTCAATTGCCTTTGGCGGACAGTGGGACACTGGGACACAATCCACTTGGTAGCAGTTGGGATGGATAAAACCCAATGGATAGTGGGACAAACCTGCTGCGAAATCGCATAGCCTCCTCTGGGTGTGGCTCAATAGGAATCGGTCCAAAATGGCACCAAACTTGTTGTGTGCCACTGAAGTGGTCTAAACCCAAAAAGTTTAAGAAGCCTATTCCGATTGAGTCACACCCTGGGCGAAATCCAGGGGTTCGAAGCAGGCGGTTTGTCCCACTATCCATTGGGATTTTATCCATCCCAACTGGGGCAAGTTTTCTGAAGCGAGCGCTGAGGCACCCGACGCCTGCGATGCCAGGCTTCTCCGCCGGCCTCGTTCTCGTTTCGGGGCGATCGGTACTCTTATGCAGGTCCTCCAGGAGAGAGGTTGGAATACGGGTACCGTTTTTCTTCTTCTTTTTTTCCTTTTTTCGTTTTTGTCCTTTCTTTCTTTTTTCTGTAGTCTATTTTAGCAGGGGAACCCTCCCCCCAAAACGGGGGGAGGAAAGGGCACTACTGCGGGACCTAGTTATGACATGGGTCTGTCTTTTGTTCTTGTACCTCCTATGGTGGGTGTTGAAAGGAAACCAAACGGAAAACCGTTTGCCATTTTGGAGGGGTCCTCAAAAACGACACAACCATATATTGGCTTGTTTCCTCTCAAGAACAATGGCTTCTTGGGGTTTCATGTTCATCTGGCTACATAACTGAAAACTCTACGTGCGTGGACACAATCCACTTTGCACCAGTTGGTATGTGGTTTGTTCCCATTCATACAGTTTCATCCATGCCAAGTGGTGCAGGACTGTGTCCACAGTGCTGGTGGAAGAAACTGGCCACATTTCAGACTGGTCGCAGACCTCCGCACGCTGGGGAATGAGGGAAGACTGCAGCCAGAAGCGAAGACTTGGCTGAGTCAACAGGTGTTCAAACCCCGATCGCGGAGACACAACTGAACCAACCAACATGTTGATTTTTGAAGCCTGAATCCATGACATGGTAATAGAGGAGCACCACTCATCGCCGCATAGCATCGGATGTCGAATGTGACAAAGGGTTGAGGAGCGGTTCAAATCCAAATCCAATCCACCGACCTGGCCGGGCGACCTGAACAAAGCTCTGACCGCAACGAACCTTCCAACGGCTGCTCGGCACCTCGTGAATCCACTGAAAGGCACTGAAAGATCGAAGAGATCCATTCCAAACACTTCCGTTTGGTTAAGCCCCCTGGAAAAAAAAACAAAAAACATCCAGTAGTGATAGATTCCCTTCAAAACCAGCGAGGGAAAATAAAAATTGTTCTTGAGCAAATGGATGAATATACGCCCTGGTGTCTGGCGCGCACGCGCTTGCGTGTCGTGAGTGTGTAAAGGTCCCGGAGCGGCTAGGTCCTCCAGTAGAGAGGTTAGAACAAGGGAACCCGATTTTGTTTCTTTCTGTAGTCTATTCTAGTAGGGGAACCCTCCCCCAAAAAAAAATCGGTACAAGGGCAGTACTGGGGGACCTAGGCGGTGAACATGCTTCTGGTATCTTGAAGAAAAGCAATGCGATTCTCAGTCCTCCTGGCCTTAGCGCGTCTTTGGATCAATCCTTGGGCGAAGTACTTTGCAAACTCGTTTAAGAGCTTCAGAACCAAGCCGCGATTACATTGGGGAAAGGAGAGCATTGTCTATTCATAGAAAATGCGCCGAGCCAATAATAACACTCAAACAGATGCATTCACCAACACCGAAGCCGGTTTTGAGGAGTTCAACCTTAAAACAGGCAGACAAACATCCGAAACGCCGCGCGAGAACGAGCTGTCCGGAGTTCGGGCGCTCGCAGTTCTTTCTCACGCCCGCCACTCGGAAGCCACCAAGCGAACACTACCGGTAGCAGGCAAAAACCAATCCGATGCTCTGTGCACCTCAAGCAGAACAAGAACACAATTGAATTATTGCATTCGGCCCCCTTTTTTTGAGCTGGTACCCTTTTTAGGCGGTGTTGAAGGGTAAAACCGAAGCCATTTTGGATTTGTTTGGGGGTCTCCCCACAAAACACGACACACCCGCATACATTTTGCATCCTACATTTGCTGAACACAAACACATGCCGAGCATGGTGCGCCGAACGAGTCAGAAGTGGAAGTGACGCAAACTACGCGCACAATCTTTGAAGATTGCGTTTGGGACGCATTCCTGACCGTTTGGCCGGAGCGTCTAACTTTGGGAAACTTGGGATGCGAGCAAGTGCCAACAGCAAATCTTGGCCAGAGAAATCACGTCGTTTGTTTTCTGTTTCACAAAATCGCCCACCAAAAAAACACGATTTGTTTTGGAGACCCCAGAAATGCCATTGGTCGCGTCGCGCGACCAGAACCCACATTTCAATCGAGAACGCTGCCAAGGCAGAACTTGAGTATTGATTCGCCAAGCTGAACCCCGCGCCCCGCTCAAACCACCATCTGCATATCCAGCTCCTCGTCCTTCTCGTCCTCCGGCTCCTCCTCCGGCTCCTCCTCTGAATCTGCCTGGCTTTCGATGAAACAGAAAATGATGAATCGACTGAAAAGCTGGCCCAAAACCGGGTCATGTGGGGTGAGTCTTGTTTTAATGGACTCCCCCCAAAATGGCTTCGGTGTTCGGTTTGGGCACCGCTTAGAAACACCCGAAAAAGGGGGTGCCAACTGAAGAAAGACGAGACACCCAGGTTCATTTGAGCTCAGTTGTGTCTAAGGGTTTTGGAGACGACGTTTTGGAGGGCCGAAGTGAAGGTTGCTCAAACTTGAGCTTCAACTCACTTCTTGAGTGGATTGGTCAACAACAGTCCATACTTTTTATTCACCACTAGAATGGTCTTCCCAAAACGTTTCAGGAACTCAGGGAATGGGTCAAGCATTCCTGAACATTGCGGACACTTTCTCCGAGCCCTTTGCATCATCCCCACTTTTTTGTGGGATTCCTGAGTGCCCGCCAGGGGAGCCAGTGTCCACAGATCTTCAAAGCTCCCTATCCTCCCCCGCAAACAAACAAAACAACTAGGCTGGAATTAGGACCCCAGCAACAAAATCTCCTTTTTGCCTGGTTAGTGGAAAACAAAGGGACCCCAAAAAAGCAAAAAGCCACCAAAAAGGGGTGGCTGATTCTGGGGAAGAAAAGAAATCCCCCCATCCTCCCGCACCTCCGTGAGCTTGCAGTCCGTGCTATCGCAAGTGCTGATGAGTCCGAAGTGCTCACCCACCCCAAAGTTCAAAGCGTCTCGGAAGGTGAAGAAGAAGACGTGGTCAGGGCCTGCCAAGTCCACTTTTGCCAAGAAGCATGTTGTCAGAACGCTCATTGATCGCAGTCTCTCGGTGCAATTGCTGCAAACACACTGCAAACTCACATGATACCCCCAAAACGAGGCTCGATCTGTCCAACAAATTCCAGTGACGGTTGTGGGGTTGTTTGTGTGCATTGTATGCTGTGCCCCCTTGGGCCATGCATCCCAAGCATCCGCCTTTCACAGATCCAATTGTAAGATCCCACTTCAGGAAGTTCTGGTAGTACCTGCAGACATGGACATCCCCTAGTCCCAAAGACCCAAGTTGCCATGCCATTTCCGCAAAAGCTGCTCGCGCCCCAAGCCAACCAAGAGTTGAATCTCGAGCGGTGCCGAACCTCCTAGAGATGCAAAACCCCCCGCCCAGTAGAGTGACATCCAACTTTCCCTGGTTGAAAGGGAACCCAGGGCATAAACCTCCTTTTGAGAACCTCTAACAAACACAAGAACCCACAAACCCCTCCCAACAAATTACAACGACACAGACTTTACATCATTTTGAGAACCGCTCCCAAGAAAGCACGGCCCTTGCCCTCTGTTTGAGAACCCCTCCCAAGCTTGGTTGCTCTTGACCCTCTGCAAAAAGTGAACCACCTTTCTTGGGGGCTTGAGTGGAATTACACCTTTATCTATTTCAACCTCAAAAGTTCAAGGTCTAAAGCTCCGTCACCCACTAGCCGTCCAGCCATGGGCTCACCTTGGCGCCCGGTCGGCGCCCCGGTCGGCCCGGTGGGCTCACGTTTGGAAGGCGGCTTTCGAGGAGAACTCTTTGCACTTGGCCATCTGGGCGTTGGCGCCCTGCAGCGAACCCGCCTGGCGCAATTCTTTGGAAGGAACGGCAGCTCCTGAGTCTTTCTTCGATGTGTTTTATATTTTTTTCTTCCGAATGGGGAATGGCCACAAAAAGTCAGAAACCTAATTATTGAGCAATAAAATATGGTCCAAGCCCAAAAAGTGACCACAGTCCTGGAGCTCGGGAAGTAAGTTTGCTCAGACTTGGCACCCTATGATTTCTGGGGGGTCGATTGGGGTAAAGTACCTCAGAGGCTATCTCGGAGGACAGTCATGCTGTTGCTCAGAGGGAAGGCCCTGTGAACTCGACATTCCAACACCGGAAAACAAAGCAAATGGCACACAATTCTCGCACGGCAACGGCTTGCCACTCACAACCTTTAAGTTCAAAAATTGGCATAGGGAAGCTGGTGCAATGAAGACTTGGCATGGTTGACGTTGGAAGGGGAGCAAATATTTAAATTTTAGCAGTTAAGTGGGGATTTCCCACTAAACCACAGTAAGCAAACATGTAAAATGTTTCCCAACAACAATCATGTTGGGATGACTTGATGAAGTGTTGGTACCTTTGGTGGACTGTTCAAGAGCAACACGGGGCGAACATCTGATATCCGCGGCCTTTGATTAGTTCGGTGTGTTTGTTGTTAGGGGACCCCTCCCCTCCACAAAAAAAAACAACAATGAACACATGGTGGCTTTGTCCTTCTGGTGTCCTTTCAAAACTCACGCAAAAGGGGACCAACTCGACAAAGGAAACCATACCCCTTTGGGTTAGAATCACTTTCGGAAGAAACGCCCAACCCGCTTTTGAAGCGGAAACACGGGTCGGGTGAGTGCGGGTCGATCCTTTTTCGCCGGCGATGCCTCCAAAGAGCGCAACGCGATAATTCACAGCTTGCCACTCAGTTGACCAGCTGGTTGGTTTGTCACATATTGCAAGTGGAAAGGCTGATGTGCGGTTGGTTTAGTTGCACCATTTGGGGACTCGACTACAACAGACTTGTGGGCAATGCCCACTGCGATACTCTAGGGCAGGTACCCTAGTACAGAGATTCCTTCGTGGGCTAATGAATGCTAGTCACAAAATATTGACATGCAAACCGAAACTCAGAACCAGCTCGCAGAACTTCTCCATGGGGACTTCTTTGCCAGTGGCAGCATATGGACCAAATTGAGCAAACAATCTTGCACTCCTTGCGGCCCGTGCCCATCTTGTTATTGAGGCAAAGAGAAGTGTTGCCACAGCCCGAGATTCTACTCCCAAAAGGCAGGCTTGCACCTTGTACATTCAAAGAAATAGGTAAAGTCTTAGATCCTGGACCAAAAACAGGCGTCTTCGAAGGCCAAGTGGAATGCGTAGATATATTTTTTCCACGTGGGCATGCGTGCGCACAAAAGACACACCCCGATCGGTGTCTCAAGATAAGACAGCTCCTTTGGAGCTGAACAGAAAACAAGTTCATTAATTTGGATAATTTCTGCAGAATGACTCCTTCGGCAAACTGGTAAGATAATGCCTCCAGCCACTTTTGGGCAGTGCTCGTGTTCAGAAGCCGCCGAACTGCTCAAAGGAGCTGTGATTTCAAATCCATCAACTCACAACAGTATGCTAGATTATTTATATGTTGTTTCTGCCGCCAGGCCGGACAATTTGCAGTGAGACCTGAAAACAGAAGGCCGCAAGCCGGGTGCTCATGACCCAGCTTGTCGCTTTTGACCCACCCAGCCAGCATAACCATCTGAAAAACAAACAGCCCAAAGTGCTGAAGGCTTAAAAAACCCATGGCGGTCAAACTATTTGAACTTGGGGATAGCCACACCGACCTGATAGGTCAAAACACAAAAAAACATGGGGCAAGCGGCTCTGGGAAGGTCCTTTCGACTTTCCCAAATTCAGCTCATGGAGCCGGACACCTTGGAGCCGAACAAAAGCGCCGGATAAAACCGGGTGTGCGAAAGGTGACCCGTGATGTCAACGTGGATCATCCCGCTGGGTTAAAACAAAAACGGAGAATACCCTTGTCTTTTCGTAGACCCCCCCCAACAACAAAAAACAATTGTGGTGGTTTTTGTGATGGTTTCCCTTTGACACCACAAACAAACCAGTGCTACCAACTCCATGCACAAGACAAAGCACCCATGTGGCAACCGTGACTCCGAGCCCTTTGTGATTTCGGTACTCGGCATGGCGAGGCCCTTGCACAGCTCATTTGTTGGTGCTCCAAGGCCGGCTCCAGCTTCCCTCCGTTCGTTTTGTCTCACGGGTCTTTCGTCGCCGCACGAAAACGCCGGCAGGCGGAGGGGGACATTCCCAACTTGGCGTTCACCGAATCCAAGAGCTCCGCCACCTGCGCGTTCAGAAGGCCACGTGGAGATTTCAGGGATCCTACCCGAATCCCGAAGATCTCCCCAAAGGGTAAGAGACCCAATTAGGCAAAACAAGGCCAAACAAGACCAAACACCTTTTCCAGTGGGGCGGGGGGCGATGAACTCTTTGGACAGGCAAGCCGCCAAATACTTGGAGCCAAGAATGCATCAGAACGGACACGCTGCGAGCTAGCCAACGAAAAACTAACGTAAGGTTTCAACAAAACACGTCTGCGTATGTCAGAGGGGTTTGGTTTTTGAGATGCTACAAAGTTAGCCCGATCGCGACGCCTTGCAATAGCCAGAGAAATAGATAGATAGTTGGACGGAAAGTTGATCGAAAGGCAGACAAATAGATAGGTAAATAGACAGATAGACAGATAGATAGCCAATTGGTAGATAATGGAAGAGTAGATGGGCAAACACTAGATAACTGGGTAGATGGATAGAGATAGAGAGAGAGATAGACATATGGCTAAGTAGATAGCTAGATAGATAGATAGATAGATAGAAAGGTAGATGGACAGCCGATGGATAAGAAATGAAGAATCGCGGACACATAAGAAAGACAGACATAAATGTTTGAGGCGTCAGGTGTCCAGTGCCGCAAAAGGGTTTCCAACCTTAAACGCCCTCTGCGCGCGAAACCGGCGGAGAGACTCTGTGATTCTTTGGCTACTTCAAGCTCGGGGGCTTGCCCGATTGGAGCGAGTGGCCATCCAAGCTATGGACTGGCGACCGGGGACACAGCCAGGTCTTCGGCTGCTTCGGCACCCAGCCCTTGGAGAGAGTGGAGGAATCCCAGGCGTTCACCTCCACAAGGTGGGTCTTCTTCCAGCTCTGCGGGGTTCCCAAAGCCAACCAACGTGGCCAGTCCCTTTCATGCGCAGGACCCCTGTCCACCCAGGGAGGAGAAAGCACAGGCGCAGCAAGAGGGCCAGCATGTTGCTCTAGTGAATTGCACACACTTGCCAGGCCGTAGGCGCCCACCACGTTGACCCACCATTCAACATCCAGCCCCAGCTGCAGGACTGCATCAGCTGGGCGGCCTCCATCATCCACCCCCCCTCCAACAGATCTTCACCATGTTGCCGCCGAGCATCCCGAGCCCGCTTGCTCACCTTCTTGCGAGCGAGAAGAAGCTTTTCGGCACCCTGTTCCCCATAATGGCAGTGCCGCCAGGAGTTTGGCGGACCCTCCCCAGAAGGAGCGACGGTGATGCCAAGTTGGTGGCTTGAACAATCCATGGACTCGATGCTAGCGTCCGTGAAGGATATTGCCTCCCAGACAGGGGAGAAGCTAGGGAGGCAATTTTCCTGAAGCGTGTATGATAGTATGTTAATGTAGGTAGGTAGATAGACTAGACAGATAGGATGGGATGGGATAGGATAGGATAGATGGTTGGATATATTGGCAGACTCAGAGAGAAAGCAGGAGAAAGAAATGAAGAACCACAGAAGGAAAGAAGAAAGAACCAAAAAAACATGAAAGAAAGAAAGAAAGAATGACAGAAAGAAATAAGAAAGAAAGACAGAGAAAAATAAAGAAATAATGACATAAGTAAGTCAACAAAGAACGAACTAAAACAAGAATTAACTAAAACAAGAAAGAAAGACATAGCAAAAACACAACACAGAAACAAATGGAAGACACACATAACATAAAGACTGAAAGAACAACAGACAGAGAGAACGAACAGAAAGAAGGGACTAAAGGAAAGATGATGGCAAAGAACAAATGATCAATAACAAGTATAACCGGCAGCAAGAAGAGAAAGAAGAAAAACAAACATGAAGATAACTGCAAGTACAGCTCTTTGTTGAAACTTCCGCCCGCCGGCTTGGCTGGCTCCACGGGTATTTGTAAACAACACAGGCAAGTGAGGCTTGAGTTCGCGCGCCTCTGCCTGCCTTGCGACTCAGCGAGCTTCAGGGCGTGTGACCGCGCGTTCTGTTTCCAAAGGCATTCATGGGTTCTTGCAAATGACCCTGGATCCTCACTCTTATCTGGTTTTCGCCTCTTCCCGCTGGTAGAGGTGAATCTACCGACACGCTGCACGGTGCGATTCGGATGTTGTCCATCCACATGACATATGTTGCTCGGTTCAGTGGGGACATGATTCCACAAGTTTGCAACCAAAGGTCTGTGCGATCTGAACGCAAAGGGCCCGCTGTAAGTCTGCTAAGATGTGGAACCTACGTGCTGCCTCCTGGGCTTTTTGTCGAGCACTTAGCTTTGACATCCCTTTCGCAACCGTGGATATACATGAATCCCTCTATACGTACATACCTACTGTAACATACATATATATATATATATATAAATATGGTACCCCGCCCCAAAACCCACGCCCCAAGAGAATTTGACGGTATTTGGGGGTTGTTCAAAATAACAGTTCCTGGAAACGGCCCTTTCGCCGGCCTTTCGCGGTCCTTTCGCGGTCCTTTCGCGGCCCCATGTTTTCCTTTCGCGGCGACAAACCAGTCCTAAAAAACTTGTTTCCGAGCCCAAACGAGGGTTCTACCATGTATTCGTTATGTTTCAAGTCCTTTCGCGTTCCTTTCGCCGGCCTTCGCGATGCAGTGTTTTCCTTTCGCGCTAGATCTTTAGAACCTCCCTTTACTTAATTTTAAGACTTGCAATTTAGAACGACTCCCATTTACAGTACTGTTGTGTGATTTCCACCCCTTCTTCAGGCACTCCAATTTCCCCCCCCCCCCTTAAAAAAATGCTTTCAAGCGCTCTACTCAAGATTCAAGATTCAAGATTCCCAGGACTCTAGATTTGGAATCTTGAATCCAGTTTCCCCACCCAAAATGCTTTAAAGCGGATTCCAGATCTACAGTCCTGAGAATCTTGAATCTTGAATAGAACCCAAAAGTGCTTTAAAGCGCTTAGGGGTGCCAGACTGGATTCAAGATTCCAGATCTAGAGTCCTGAGAATCTTGAATCCCAAATGCTTTAAACCGCGAGGGCAGGCTAATAAAGCATCTGCTTTCATCCATTCCTGTTTGGGTGTTCACCTTCATCATCCTTTGGACTTGTGTACCATCCGCAGCTTAACTGCCAAATCCTGACATCTAGTCTCATTCTGTGACATACCATGGACAAAGTGAATGTGTCGGGCACCATGCGCCTCCTCCAACATGGCAGAGCCCTCATCACTTGGAACGTGAGCCATGCCCCGTCAGATGATGTGCCGCAATCCAAGGATGCAATTTGCTCCATTGAGAAGGGCATTCGTCATGGTCACTTTCACGTTCACCAATCTCGCTTGCCTCTCAAACAACACGTGCTGACATCCTTGATTGCCAACATTCAGCTTGGTATTCAGTTCCTGACAGGCTGCTGGATTTGATTTGCTTGCGAGAGCCAAATCCAAGAGGAGCCTTTTGGCCTTAGTAGATGCCTCTGGTGCCGCGAGCCTGGCGCTGGAAAACATTGCCGAGACTGAGGGCGGCCATGCCGCAAACCTGGCGCTGGAAAACATTGTTGAGACTGAGGGTGGCCATGCGGAGCAAGATGGGGATCTCAATGGGGAGTCTAGTGAGGCCAACTGCACGAACGAGTCCGAAGGCGAAGCTGAGGGCAGCGGCATCTACGATGAGGATGGGGAGTCTGAGCATGCCCGCCACGGTGCAGAGGAAGAGCCTGACTCAGTGTCAGAGCCCTCATCACACTCCACATCGCATCGCGAAACTTCGGTGTCTCACATCTTGGAAGAAAAGGTTGTCAACATCGAGCTAGACCTGGAGAGAATGCCCTCAGTGGCTTGTCAACCTCGGACTACCAGATAGGCGTGCTGACCGCCGAGGCGCAGAAGCTTCGAGGAGGAAGTGGCCTTTCTAAAGATTCAGGCGGCAAAGAAGCAGAAGACCAGCCACTAGCCACTGTACATAGTGCAATGTACCAGGGTCAGTCGATTTGTTTGGTTGGAGTTCATATGGAATGGCAGTGCAAGCAGGGGCGGAAAAAAACAATGCAGAACGCAGCTGTCCGCTCAGCAGAGTGCACATTCTCCCTAGCAATCCTGGACCATAAAGAACTTAGCTGTAGTAACTCACTCCTATCCCTGTAGCTGTAATGGCATTGTTGGATGAAGCCGTGAAACAGTTCATGTGCGACGAATTGTCTTCTCCTTCCTGCTCATTCAAGACCGCTGACAGCATCCAAAACCCAATTAGCCTTTCCAACTTCGTGTCGGGTTCTTGCCGTGGCGCGCACAAGGAGTGAAGTCCTTGACTATCCTGTACGATGTCCAGCTCAATGTCCCAGAGTTCCCTCGAGCTAAGCTCCGGTCCGCGCAGTACCAGTATTGGCTGAAGAATGCTGACCTATGGGAAGCATCTGGGGAGCTACGCGAGTGGAGAATGGCAAAGTTTGTCCGTCCCCCAGCTGTAGATGCAGGGAGTGGTCTTGCTACAGCTACAGGCGGGTGTATGATGTATGGGCATAAAAAGCGCAGCTTAGTCTTTGCTGCGTCGTCTGAGCTTCATTTGACTTCTTAAGCCCTGACATCTTTCATGCATCTTTGCAACAACTCTCACAACCTAAACCATCGATACGAAACGTCAAATATCTGCTGCAATCCCTGTCTTAGTCAAACTGTCACACATCTGCTGGATAAAGTCTGACACTGGTCTACTAGAAGGAGTCTGTCATGCCTGAAAACCAAAGTCTTAATGAATCATCTACATAAGTCTGCCAACATTGTGACATGAGCCCATTTCTGGTAACATCTGTCTCAAATGACCTGACTCCCCTTGCAAAACCCGGCATATAGATATTAATATATGTATCTATATATTGTACGTATACTATAATGTTTACATACGTACTGCACACAGCCTTGTAGTGGAATAGGAGCCGCATAAGCACCTGAGGTAGACATGTCGTCTTCGCTTTTCTCGCCTCCGGGTCGCGGAAGAAGGGCGCGCAGTGCTGCAGCACCGCCTGAACGCCAAAACCGAGGGCAGGGGGGGTCCTTTGGGGTTTCCTTTAAGCCAAATCCTGACGTGGCGCGCGGGAGTCTGGACGATGGTTGGAGATGGAGAATCAACATTTGAAGATGTGGCTGGTGGTTGTCAGGGAATCCATCTAGAAGGAATGAAGAAATGGATCTCTCACAGGAAACCACAAGCAGAACAGTCTTTCCTCATTCCGCACTAAGACCCGGCAACTTGATGGTGGTTGGGACAGCCCGCCAAAGAGGGAGCTAAGGAGCTGCCAGTTCTGACATGGCCTATTTGCATCCTCATCTGAGACAAATCCATCTTCTAATCTTACAATTCCGAAACCTCACACCAGGGATCCCCAAGCCTCTTTCCATGGAAGTGGACAAGGCGGTCCTTCCAAAAAAACAAAAAGTAGTCGTCCCATACCTTCCTGTCGGCTTCCATGATGTTTGGAAAGTTGAAGACACTTCTTCACGATGAGCTCGTTTCTACCCCATAAGGTCATAAAGCAGGCAGAACTCATTTGCTGGCTGGTTCCAAGGGAATGAGAGAATGATCCCTAGAAACCATCCAACTGGTGGTTTCCTTTAAGGGGATCATTGGGTCATTCCCAAACCCCGTATTGGTTCCCTCAGAACCATTAAGCTTTGTGAACATGTGTGCGTTGACACCCGAGGGTATCCTTTTCTAGTTGGTTTCCAGGGAAACAAAAGGAGCACTGATCTTGGGGTGCCCCGATTTCGACACATCACATAATCTCCTTGCCCTCCCCCCAACTAAATTTAAACTCGTGGTGTCAAAATGGGGCCCGACCGACCTGATGGTTGGCTTCCGCAGAAGCTGAGAAGGACCCTCAACACAGATCCACTGTCTCACGCGTTAAACGGCCGTCAAACTGCAATCTATCCTCGAAATGCGCATGCGAAACTGAAACGGACAGGGCTAACCACAGATGTGTCAAATGCAGAACACCAGCGCCTAACTTCCATCGACTTGCGCTTGCCAACATGTGAAAAGGTCTATAGAGCAATCTGGTATAAACCGTTGTAGCACCACCTGCTAAATTGGCCGAGCACTCCGTTTCGAGTTACCCAGCCTAGGTCCTCCAGGAGAGAGGTTAACTTTTTTTCTGTCTATTTTAGGGGACCAAAAAAGGGGTGAGAGGTCGGCACCTAGCTGGGGGACCTAGCAGCACGAAAAATCTGCTCGCCTGCAAACCCTCACCGTGGAAGCCGAAGCTGGACAGAACCGACGACTGTGTCGCAAGCACCAAGTCCTCTCGGCCTGCGAGGCGACTCAGGCGTGGTCACGGAAGCGGGGGAGAGACCAAGAACTCGGCAGGTATTTCCTGTATCAAATGCAGTATGTGTACTGCTTCGTGTACTACTTCTGTGCACTTTTGGTGATGTAGCAATCCTCAACCGCCCGTTTTTTGCGGGAGTTTGGCCACTTGGAAGCCTCGATCCGAGTCTAGCCTGGAGCTGTGAATTCTGGATGGACGAAATGCGTTGAAACCACTTGGAAACCATGGTTGTTTGGTATTTACGTTGGGGAATCGAATCAATCCAGGGTTTCTTAGGATCAGGATTTTCTCCATTCCAGAGTAGGTGGGAACCACGGCATTGCTGGTGACCGCCCACTTTCAAGGGTAGCCGATTTGACGTGACCCCCCCCCAAAAAAAATGCTCCAAACAAGCCAGGCAAAGCGGATGCGGCCGCCAAAGTAGGACGTAGCTGGAAGCAAGGGCATGCTGATCTTGGGTCTGTGGACATGGGCTAACTGGCTGGCCAATGCGAAGAAACTCATTTTAGTTGAAATGACCCCGAGCAAAACCATCCCCCAAGGTTTCCCCTAAGGGAAAGCCTTCGTTCCCAAACTTTTGGGTCGTTCCCTATCGAATGCAAGACAAACGGCTTCGCTGAGATTCTCCAGCTAAACCCCCGAGCTTGTTGTCTACGCTCAGCTTCAAGTGTGAGCTGCACGCCACCAAAAAAGCCAACAGGAGATCTCGTTGTGATTGTTTTTGGGCCACTCCCAACTTGATACACTGGAATGTGTTGCTAGGGATCTGTTGAAATGCTTGGTATCCTTTGCGACTATTCTTTGGTTTTCCTTTACGGGCGGCACAACAGGCCATCAGCATCCAACAACTTGCCCAGTGGCTACGGAGAAAAAAGAACATCCTTCGTTGGGTGGCTAGAAAGAAACACCCACCGCAGGCGAAAAAGGAGTGCCTCAAAATGGGTTGCGCTTCCTTCCGGATTTCTGGATGTTCGCCGCAAAAGAACTCCAAAGAGGAAACCAAAAACGAACCAACCATTCTCAGAGGATCCCTTGGTACCCTGGGATTGCCTTTTGCTTTCTGGGGATTTTCATTTTTCGGTAGTCTATTTTAGGGGAACCCTCCCAGCCAAAAAAGGGGTTAAAAAGGGCACCTAGCTGGGGGACCTAGACTATCTCCTCAGGGCACAGAGGGAATTCTGGGGAGAAAGGACACGCCATTCTAGGTGTACCTTCCCCATTCTTTCCAGGGATCCTTCTTTTCAAGAAACCATCAAAATCCCAGGGGAAACAGCCAGGTTTTGAAAAGAACGATGGTTGAAAAGAATGGCAAAGGAATCAACCCCTAGAGCCATGCGTCGATTTGCGAATTTCGATGCTTTGAGCCTTCCAGCTCGAAGTAGCCCTCGGGATCTTCGAAGTTGACGTCGCCCAGCTTCACATCAAAGACCCTCCTTGAGCCACGTTAGCAGAAACACATCTGGGTATGGGTCAAAATGAAACCACCAGGGGACCGCAGGTTTCAGCCCTTGTTTCCGTTCTCCAGGCTTCCATTTTGGGTACCTATTTGTGACCCACAGCCATCTCCCAAAACAAATGAACTTGGAGGGCAACAACTTTGCGAGTCGCTTTTTCAGCATGGGATAAACGGGGGGATTCAAGGAGAACCTGGTCTAAACCCCCCAAACCTCACTTCCTGAATGGATTAGTTGATTGGCCAGAACAAGTCACCACACTTTTTGTATACCACTAAAACGGTGAAACCCAGAAAGCGATCAAAAGTCCGCAACGGAACTCCGGGAGTGAGAAAACCCAGCAGTTTCTGTCGCTCTCCACTCGTTCGCCGGCCATCTTCCATTTGGTTAAGACCCTGTCCAGTAGTAAAATCGACTCCCTTTCAAAACCAACTGGGAAAATAAGAAAAAACACAGTTCATTTCAGCAAATGGAAGTATATTCCCCCTTACAACATCACCCCCAGCAAGGGCCACTCACCTTGCATGGGCCATTCGGCTCCTGGAGTTGTAGTTGGCCACACGCTTCAACTCCTCGACCTCCACCTGGAAGGCAGCTGCGCTGAACTCCTGTCGGAGCGTTGCACCCCTGACAACCATGACGGACCAGGGCCAGGTTGGACATCTTCCAAAATGGCCATGGGTCATACCTCCGTACCCCCAGTGAACATCCCAATCCCCACTAAAATAGACTAACATGGGTAGTGCACCTATCCCAAAAT